GAAAATGTAGCACGAACTGTGATGACTATATATCAATAATTCTATCTATAAAAACTAAACTAAAATACTGTTTTATGATTGCTGGGTTATGAATCCAATGCCATAAATTCATAAATGTTTTTTCAATTTCGTTTTTAAAGTGCTGTATGGATTTAGAATCCTTAACTATATGCGGTAGATTATTCCACAAGTCATGAGCCCGCTATAACTTGAAATCAACTAAATACAAGTATATTTAATTGATTCTGACTTCATGATATATAATTATGTGACTGTTTACTTTGAGAAACAATGTTTAGTGTGCACATAATCTGAACTGATATGCGATATTAACATAAAGGTTTCTATAAAATAATATGTGAATTTGAAGTTAAMAATGTTTTGCTTGAAACAAATAATTCTTGTTGCAGAGAAAAAAGAGAAGCAGTACAACCACTACTTCGTCCTTTTTACGAACACTAAAGAGCTGACAAAGCTCATGCAGAAGTACAGGGGCTACATAATAAAAGCCCACACTGAAGAGGAGTTTGCAAGGGTAATAGAAATTCGATCTGGTTTATCATATAACCAAAAATAAATATATATAATTTAAAAAAATTAGTTGGGAACATAAACTAAGAATTTTATTCCTGCATGTGTGTAATTCTGTTATCCACTTACTCCACATAGGCAGCAGAGCTTGTGGTTTGAAATTTGTGGGGGTTTCTGACCGGGGGGGTACTCCGCCAGAATTTTGGTAGGGGTGTTCCGCTGGGATTCTGAAAGGGGTACCCTGTTTATGACAAAAAAACTCAAATTTGTAGACCCTGTTCATGACAAAAGATATAATTTATTGCACTGAGTTCCTTTTTCAATATATCATGTCATCTCGCGTATCGTTTTTTTACGACCATAATAACCAGTTTCGGTCAATACGAAAGTAGAAACCCTGAATATGACAGGACACTCAGGAAGAACTTGGAACTTGAGTGAAATTGCATACCCTGTTTATGACAAGAAGCTCGAAAAACCATACCCTGTTCATCAGATCATCCCCGTATAGTCCATATATGGGATTACCCCCCCCTACCCCCCGGGGTTTCTGATTACTGAACTTTCCCAGATCCACCTGATAATTGATTCTCTTTCCCTTTTGACTAGTAAACACCCAAGCACTAGTGTAGGGAAGGGTGGTATGGGGGACACATGCCCCMAAAAAGTTTGCTTTCGTCACCAAAATGTAATTGATTCATATGGGTTTTCGGGTTTTCATATGGATTTGGTGGGAAAATTATAGTACCTTTTTACTATGTTTTTCTTCTTTTTTACTGTCCATGATGCATGTCAATCTATAATTACATCACTTTCATTACAAATTTATATATGTATATGAGAATATATATAGACTATATAYTTGTACTGCAGTAATAATGTATCTAATTGAGGTGATCTGCACAGTATATCAAGCAACTTATGCAACAAATTTATATGTTAACGAGAAGTGGCCCAGTGGTAATGGCACCCCAAAAATTCAAACAGCTATGTTGATAATACTTGGGGGTATTAAAATTAAACAAATATATTTTCATTTCATATTTTCATTTCAGGTGCTCCATAAGCTGATRCAACAAGAGGAAAGACTTAACCATGGCATACAAGTTAATTTCACCTACGCTTCTGATCATGATAACGATCTTTACAGGATATTAACCAAGTGCAAAAATTGTGCACATTGCAAGTTTGTCATAAGTACTGTTGATGACACTAATTGCTTTTGCGAAATAGATTCCGAAGTAAGCTGGAATAATATTTGATGATTATGCATCATGAAATTCTTAAAGCCTTAAATTAATCAATCTCATTATTATTTGCTCAGGATTTTTTGCCCATTGAAAAACTTCTAGCTTTAGAATGCAAAAACTGTGGTAGCTCACAAGACATGAGACTCAACTCTCAAGATTTCTTCCAGTCCTGCTTTGAATTTCATTTGATTTGCAACAACATTTCATTAAGGACACCAACCATTGCCCAAATAGACATAACAACTTTGGGCAGAAATGGGAGAAAAAATTGGAATGAAGAAAGGTCCTTCGCAGTCTGTGTAAGTATTAGATGAGTATAAAAAATAATTTTTGAACCAAAATCATGATTCAGATCAATCAGTGACCACAGAGATGTGRGGCTACAGCTCTGCCACTATTTACATGATACGAAAATGGATTTTATGCCTCTTAATAACAAAATTATTACTAATAACTTTGTATCATTTTTCTTGTAGTTTCATAACATGGATACATCTTCAACAGGTAAAAATAAGCAAATTGTTAAAACACGTTTTGCACAATTTTCCTAAAAAAATACATGTTAAGAACATGACTGTTTTTTTTTTTTTACATTTTAGAGAACAAGATGCCAAAGAAAGATAGGGAAAACCTTGAGAAAAACSAAGAAAATGTTTTGGCTAAAATGGGGGGCGAACAACAGGTGATAGAATTACTTATCCAACGGGAAGTACTTAGCAGTGATTTTCAAGTGGAAAACCTTACCAGGAATGATTTAATTGGAAAATTGCTTCGTCATCTCTTTATGTCTGGTGATGTTTTACCACAGTTTATCACTTGCCTTCGTGACACACAACTGCCTCAAAATTTAGAACTGGCAGATATTTTGTGCAATGACAATTAATCATACACCAAAAATAATCCTCCTTTCGACAGGATGGCACAGGGGTTATGTGTTACGCATTATACGCAAAATATCAAAATGTTGAGCTTGAATTCCAGATTAACTGTGTTTATCATTCCTCTCTTAAAAAGTTAATGATATGTCAATGATTGTTTCGATTTCATGAAAAGTTAAAATTTTCAGTTAAGGTGGCTGGACCCCCTCACGCTTGACCGCTACCTTCCACTTTTGGAACGATGGTACATAAATGTGTTTTATCCGATTGCAAATCTTTTTTGCACACAAGTCACATTAAGATTGAATTAATATTTGATGCAATTTTTAGTGAAATCGGACGTCATAACACGTGATTATGATGAAATATTTGTTTTCGTTTAGAAAATAATTTTAGCCTTGCAAGCGTTCAACACTAAAATGCTTYGTACCACATAATTATATACTGGATGCCTCCATTTGTAGGGATTTTTGAAAAAATCTACCTAGCTAATTATGAGACATTTGAGATTATTTAAATAGAGTGCATAATCTACTTCAAAACTAAACAGTGGATTTCAGACGCCCGATCTCATTAAAAACTGCATCAAACATTAATTCAATCTTTATGTGACTTATGTGCAAAAAAGATGTGCAATCGGATAAAACACATTTATGCACCAGCGTTCCAAAAGTGGWAGGTAGCGGTYAAGCGTGAGGGGGTCCAGCYACCTTAAAGTTCTGTTAAAATTAGTGATTTGTTAATATGCCTTAAAACTATATGTGCCCCATAAATTTTAGAAATATCGATGTGTGGAATGTGATGCCCTTCCCCTGTGCAACCCTGTTTCAATATACTTAAAGTGTGTGTTAAAGTGAARTCTCAAGATTTCTTTTGAGCACCTTGCAGGGGAAAAAGATAGTAATAATTATAAACTGAAAAAATCAACCATGAGAATTAGTCCCTTTRCAGTGCTTAACTTTTATTTCTTATAATGAAAATATAATCACTTTTATATTAAACTGGAGGTAGTGTTACACAAGATGATTATTTGGCAARCACAACATTGTTCCATTCAAAAGTTGGTCACACCTAACTTGGCGCATGCACAAATTGGTGGCAACAAAGAGAGTGTTTCAACCAATTTCCAAACAGTTACCCTGGTCCCAGAGGCTCGACGATTTTTCTCCACGTATATTTTGAGGCGCGAAGCGGCGAGTGAGCTGCGAAGCGGCGAGTGAGCTGCAAAGCAGCGAGACCGGCAAGACTTCGTCGGAGCTCCGACAAGGACTCACTCACTGCTTCGCGGCTCAAACTATACGTGGCCGGGAAAAAAATCGTCGAGCCTCTGGGACCAGGGTACCAAACAGTGAGAAGTAATTTTTAAAAATGATATGGAGCCAAATTTTTTTTAACCAACTTGGAAGTGTTTGGATAGAGGATGAAAAACTCTTTCATGTGCTTGATATGGCTTCTCAAACTATTAATAATTCTTGGAGAAATTAAATTTAAGCATAAGTTGCCCAAATTTTATGCTAATTAAGATCACATTTCCAAACCCCCTTCTCGCTAGTGAGTTTTTAGTTTTGTCTTCATGAATTATTAATAAGCTTTAGAAGGTCATTCAAAAACCTGCAACGTGTTGCAGCAACAAAATATYATTTAAAAATTGGAACCCTAGGTCATGTTACCCAAGAAAAATTTTTCAAGCAACATTGTGTGAAAAATCATCATTGCAAATCATCGTGTATAACACCTTAGTATCAGTATCATTTTGTTTCTAGTTGAGCTGGCTCATTTTTTATGTGACTTGAAGTTGTGAAAGGCCCAAATATTTGGCCCTCTTCTTCAGTTGTTTCATACAGAGCTCGTAATTTACCTATTATGCATGTTCTTATCTGATTTCTGAGCCCATCCCACACGGCTTACCGCCTCATCTATCAGYATCATGGTTAAGTAATATGTTGTTTTAATGAAACAGTGAAAATGTTAATTAATCAGTACTCATTAATCAGTTTAGTTGTTGTTAGATATTTACATGGGCCTTTTTGCACTATGCAATTTTCTATATTTTCCTTTGCAAAACAAATCTGTCACCAATGGTYAATGTACTATGTGGTGTACTCGCTGACACCTACAAATTCTGTTTTGGAGATATAGATTACTGGAAGTGTGTAAAACCCCTCTTTGAGRCTTTTACAACTGGTCCCTAAAAAGAGGATCTAACAGATTAGGTTAGTTCAAAAACCYAGTACAGGCAGATGATTACTTCATCATTATAACAAAGCAAGTTTAGAGCTAGTAAAGTGAGCTGCAAACAAGGCAAGCCAAAAACAGCAACTTCAAGAAATAGAAGGCATGGATTTTAATCTCAACAAGAAGCACATGYCTTCCCGCTTCCTCCTTGCAGACACTACAGCACTCAATCAATGACAACTGGTTGTTGCCAGCCCACAACTACTGTAGTTGATGAAACATTCAAGCTATGCTGTTGATGCTGATCCTCCTTTTGTGCAATTACAAACACATTGGTGAGTGGAGATAAGTGCAAAGCAACAATCACTGCAGTTTGTACTTATGACAAGAAAGGGGGAAAAAATAATTATAAAGAGGTATTTTTTTCAATTTCGTATTGCCTAGCCAATTTAATTCTTTCTGTTTGTGTTTTTAGATGTTGGAAAGGGCAGGAGCTKGGGGTCCGTGGCTCCAGCCCTGTATGCCTAACACATGAGTAGAGTGTGTTTGATGTGTTGTTCTCTCCTGTGCYATGAGGAKTTTTCTCCAGGTTCTCTGGTGAGTCGAGAGTTGTATGCATAGAATATTATTATAATGTATAGTGGTAAAGTGTGCCAGTAAAAGTGWTTTTATTGGAAACCAGTATGATATCTAAAAAAGTTGTTTTCCACTTTTAAAAAAAGGGGATTATTTATTTCTTTATTTACTTGGATTTCTAGTGCATTTTTTCCACCTGACAACTGGTGAGGCCAGATGATGTTGAGGCCGGGCATGATGGTCAAAATTGCCAGGCTTTGAGATGCCACCAGCTGCCATTCCACAGCTTSCTTACTTACAGCTGCTTCATTAGACATTTTTAGTTGCTTTCTCTTCAGGTAAGAACTTTTTTAGCTGAATTATGGTCTTTTCAATCCACATCCACGTGATATTTGGTGAGAGATCATGGAAAAAATAGATTTTTTGGTTACACAMATCATTTACACATTAAATAAATACTTGGCATTTTCATTTAAGGTATTTCTGGTCCCCGAATGAAAACTAACGAGAATCCAAAGAAGAAAGTACTGCTAGCTACAGAGAAAAGTTTTCAATGCTTGAGAGAAATATCAGTCTGGTTAAAAGACCATGGCACAGTTGCCGAGGACGGAATAAGTATCTACTAAAAAAGTAGAGTTTGTATATAATTTTAATACTATGTTTATAGTAACTACACAATAGACCATTTTCAAGTTTCAAATTACCATTTTCCTACTTGATTACAGACTCATTTACACAGGGTTAACCTCAAAACAGTATATTCACAAATACCAACGGTAAAGTAAAGAATGCACAACTTCAACAATACAAACACTTTGAAACTCAACAGACCTTCATTGGAACACGTGAATATTCTGCACAAAATCAAGGCTAACCCTGTGCAACAGAGGACTCGAAACTGGAGTATAGCCCACTTCCAAGATATGTTTCATTTGTAACACAYTAATGTTTTAGTACGAGGCTACATGAATCATATTAATTTTCATTTCTACTATATTGTAAATCACTGATATATTCATGTAGCCTCATATTGAAACCTTCGCGTGTGACAAGCGAAGTGGGCTATTGAAGTGACAATACACATCACATGCATGGACCTTTGAACCCAATAAAGCCGTCTTCATTATTGTGTTTGAAATATGATCTTTATACAAACTAAAGGCAAATGTCTTTATTTAAAGAATACTAATGAGGATGACTTTATCAGAGATAAAGATGCAYCTACTGTAAGTTTAAATATGAAAACTTTACTGAAATTTTTTAAAAACATGCAAACTCTGTGTCTGCAAACTTTATGTTGAAATTTGGTTTTCCACTGCCCTCAATCAAACCTAATCAGTCRGTTCCTTTCATATTTTTGACTGGCGGCAGCTAAAAACCAGATTTGAGGGTGCAGCTCGCAGGCTCAGAGTTCACATGTTTATGACAGTCTCTTAAAATAATTATGGTCACTTGTTGCACACAAACATTAACAAATTTTGTTGACTAGTGACCTTGTTTTGAAATTGGCATGCTGTCTTTAACTTCTAGGAGTCTTTTTAGACTCACTGTGCATGGCAGTGATGAAATAAAATATTGATTGAGTATAAAAGTTCATGTTCGCAAATGTGTATGACTGCTCTAATTCAACCAAGGGTAATGAATATTGTTCATTAACTTTTTAACTGTTCAATATGCTTGAAGATTGTGTTTTATCTGGTCTAAAACCACTCATTTAATCCTTGTGGCTTTAAGCCTGATAACACTTTGATCAACACTGCTTTTAGAGCAAAGCAAGCAAGTTTTGTATCTCTTTCATAAAATTGGATAAAAATGAATAAAATAGAAAACATGGGTAAAAGTATTACTATTATTATTATTTAAATTGTTTCGTGGGGTRAAGTTTAGAAACTTTTAGTTCAAATTAAAGTCGAAGCTAATAAGCATCCTTCTAAGTAGGTTCTGTAATTCTACAGTTTATAAATATGTCAAAGGTCCATCACGCCTACTATACAACATACGATATCCATACCTCACTCTATTCAGGTCCACGTAGCGGTCTCTCAACCATACATCACATACACAGTTCTGGGTGACATCATGAATGACGTTGAAGAACTTTTCCTCTGTTGAATCAGGTGTCAGCCAGAAAGAGATGTCCTGAATGTAAATGAGTGGGAATAGGCTGAATGGGATGAAATGGGATAGGAAGGTTAAAAAGTGACATTTTCACTCTACCTTCAGAACTTATCAAACTCATGAATACTTCATGAGGAAAACACAATAGAAATCATTGTCCTTGGCTGGAGGAGGTTGTATATCTGATACAAAATTGTCCTGATTTGCATAAACTTTAACTCCAATTTTTTTAGCCAAATTCAATTTTATCTTTAAAATTATAGTAGAACATGAATGTATACACCTAGACGTTTCATAAGTAATATATGATATTCGTGTCTGTGTTGTAGCAGATATACAATCACTCGCCTTTGGCTCACGGTTGTATATCTGATACCATACGGCCACTCATATTGTATATATTACATATTGAATCAGGTTATAATGATAACAGCTGGTCAGTCACTTGTCATTTTGGCTAAGTCATACCTTGTTTCTGGCTCAAAGTTACCAGTAGTATTAACCAGCATGGCAAAAATTTGACCAGACAAGTTCCAATAGGCCCTTTGCAATTAGCGGTCACGTGTCTGTACTGGAATGCAAAATTTTTGTTTTTATATTAAATTGGTGATTCTTTTTAGCTACTTGTAAAGAACTGAATGAAAACATGTGTATCCAGTGTTACAAAATGTAGTTTTATTACGATCTCTCGAAACAGGTTGTAGAAAGTAAGTTTGCACCCCAGTAAATTTCACCCATGGGAATCAAGATGTTCATTCATTTGCTCTCAATGAATTAATCGTGATTGCTTAGCTGCAAAGGGCCTATTCTCGCTGGACATATTGTTTGATCACTTTTAGGTCTGAGAATGAGAATTGAGTAAAAAGTTTGGTTAAGTTGGATTTGCAGTACATTTTGAGACTGTTTAGGTGACAAAATAGATGCCATCTTGTGAAGATGTCCCCTAAAAAGTTCTTTTATCTTTGCAAACCTGAATAGTCTTTTTCACTTTTATTTGACTTGTGATATTACGAGAAATACGAGAAATACAAGGATTAGAAGGAATAGAGTAATACAAGAACTACAAAATTGAACTGAACCAAACGAGG